AGTAAAACATGTTGAGTGAGATGTGGAGAAAAGAGAGCCCTCGTGCACTCTTGGTGGGAACACAGACTGGTACAGCCACTGTGGAAAACAGAATAAAATTTCCTCAAAAAAATTAACAGTTAAAGTGTTTCATAACCCAGTGATTCCACCTCTAGGTACATATTCAAAGAAACCCAAAACACTAATATGCACCCTTATGTTCATTTCAACATTATTTACAAGAGCCAAGATACAGAAGCCACCCAAGTGCCCATCAATATGTAAGTTAATAAAAAGTGATGGTACATATATACAATGCAATATTACTTGGCCATAAAAAAGAATGAAATCTTACCATTTGTGATAGCATAGATGAAACTAGCAGGTATTATGCTAAGTGAAATGAGTCATAAAAGGACAAATGCCATACAATTTCACTTATGTGTGGAATCTAAAAACAAAATAAATGAACAAACAGACTCAGATAAAAATAACAGGCTGGGACTTCCGGCCAAGATGCAAGCGTAGGTAGACATACTGTGCCTCCTTGCACAACCAAAATAAGGACAACAATAATTTAAAAATAAAAAACAACCAGTACTGACAGAAAATTGAACTCTATAGAAGTCCAACAACTGAGAAGTTAAAGTAGACACATTCATCCAGACTGGTAGGAGGGGCGGAGTTGGGCAGCCAGGACAGAGAGGTCTCACAGCAAAGCAGCGGCTGGCAGACCCCTGGAGTGCAAGGCAGCAGCTGGTGGACCCAGCAAGGTGGCAGATTGTGGAATGGGGAGCAGTGTGCAAGGCAGCTAGGGGACCAGGTGGTCCCACATTCATACACAGATAAACCAGGCAAAACTGGGGAACGAGACAGACCACACAACCCAGGGTCCAATCGCAGGGAAATAAAGCCTCAAACCACCAATTGAAAACACCTGTGGGGATTAAGGTGCTGGGAGAGACTCCCAGCCTCACAGGAGAGTTTGTTGGAGAGACCCACAGGGTCCTAGAATGTACACAAGCCCACCCACACGGGAATCCACACCAGAAGGGCCAAATTTGCTTGTGGGAAGTGGGAGAAGTGACTGAAATCCAGCAGAGAGCAAAGCAAGTTCCATTGTTTCTTCACAGACCACTGCCCCTCATACAGCACCACAACCCAGTGACTGGGTTGCCCGGCCCTGGTGAACACCTAAGGCTCTGCCTCTCACTATGCAACAGATGCATCAAGACAAAAAGAAAAAAAAAATGGCCCTAACGAAAGAACAGATCAAAGCTCCAGAAAAAATACAAATAAGTGACAAGGAGGTAGCCTACCTATCAGATGCACAGTTTAAAACACTGGTAATCAGGATACTCACAGAATTGGTCTGTGGTTGAATTGGTCACAGGTTGAACTTGGTCACAAATTATATGCAAAAATGAAGGCTACACTAAGTAAAATAAAGGAAAATGTACAGGGAACCAATAGTGATGGGAAGGAAACTGGGACTCAAATCAATGGTGTGGACCAGAAGGAAGAAAGAAACGTCCAACCAGAAAAGAATGAAAAAACAAGAATTCAAAAAAAATGAGGAGAGGCTTAGGAACATTTCTAAATGAACATTCGGACATGTAACATCCAAATTATAGGGGTACCAGAGGGGAAGAGGAAGAACAAGAAATTGAAAACTTATTTGAACAAATAACAAAGGAGAACTTCCCCAACCTGGCAAAGGAAATAGACTTCCAGGAAATCCAGGAAGCTCAGAGAGTCCCAAAGAAGTTGGACCCAAGAAGAAACACACCAAGGCACATCATCATTACATTAACCAAGATTAAAGATAAGGAGAGAATCCTAGAAGCAGCAAGAGTTAAGGAGGCAGTTACCCACAAAGGAGTTCCCATCAGACTGTCAGTGGATTTCTCAAAAGAGGCTTTACAAGCAAGAAGGGGCTGGAAAAAAGTATTCCAAGTCATGAAAGGCAAAGACCTACATCCAAGATTGCTCTATCCAGCAAAGCTTTCATTTAGAATGGAAGGGCAGGTAAAGTGCTTCTCAGATAAAGTCAAGTTCAAGGAGTTCATCATCACCAAGCCCTTATTATATGAAATGTTAAAGGGACTTATCTAAGAAAAAGAAGATAAAAAAGATGAACAGTGAAAGGACAGCAAACTCACAATTATTAACAACCACACCTAAAACAAAAACAAAAGGAAACTAAGCAAACAACTAGAATAGGAACAGAACCACAGAAATGGAGATCATATGAAGGGTTAGCAACAAGGGAGTGGGAGGAGGAGAGGGGGGAAAGGTACAGAAAATAAGTAGCAGAGACAGTAGGTCGAAAATAGACAGGGGGAGGGCAAGAATAGTATGGGCAATGTAGAAGCCAGAGAACTTATAAGTATGACACATGGACATGAACTAAAGGCGGGGAATGTGGGTGGAAGGGGGTGTGCAGGGTGGAGGGGAATGAAGGGGGGAAATGGGACAACTGTAATAGCATAATCAATAAAATATATTTTTTTTTAAAAAACAGGTTGATGGTGCCAGAGAAGAGGGGTTTGGGCAACTGGATGCAAAAAGCAAAGGGATTAAAAAGTACAAACTGGTAGTTACAAAATAGTCGCAGGGATGTAAAGCGTAGCATAGGCAATATAGTCCATAACATTGTAATGACTGTGTGTGGTGCTAGGTGAGTACTGGAAATATTAGGGGGAACACTTTGTAAACTATACAATTCTCGAAACTTCATGCCATATACCTGAAACTAATACAAAATAATATTGAATGTAAACTGTAATTTTAATCATTTTTAATTTCTAAATAGAAAAACAAAAAGAATGGACAAGTAGTGATTCACTGATTCAATCAAAGATTAGGAGCTTGGAGAGGTAATATTGCTTAAAGTAGCCAAGGAAGACGATCCATGTAAGATGTGTTTTAGTCTTGCTTTTTGGGTGAAATCTGAACCTTCTTGGCCACACGAATGAACTTACATACTGATGAAAGATATATTGATGAGGTAATAAAGGTAGCCAAAACAGAAAGCAAAATGCCCTCAGTAACCTTGGGCAAAGAATATAAAACTGAAACTCATAGACACAGACAACAGTATGGTGGTTACCAGAGGGAAGGGGGGGTGGGGAGGTAGTAAAGAGTAAAGGATGCCAAATATAGGGTGACTAAAGAGTATTTGACTTTGGGGTGTTGGGGACACAATGCAATATACACATCAGGTACTGTAGAAATGTACACTCAGAACCTATATACCTTATTTTGCCATATATAATGCACACTCACGTTTTTTGGCCCAAACTTTAAGGAAGAAAATCTTTTGTTTAAATTTTTTAATTAATTTTCTTATTGATTTTATATTTAGATACTTGTTTTTTGTATTATAAAGGAATTTTTATATTTCTTTTTGAACACATTATGGTACAAGAAATTTTATGTAACAAATAACTACAAAACACAAGAAAAATAAAAGGTTTTTCAGGTACTACCCAGGTATAATGCACATCCTTATTTTTCCCTCAGAAATTTGAGGGGAAACTGCTCATTATACACAGTAAAATATGGCAATCATTTTTTAATTTTCATTGTTTATGTTGTTAGAGTGGTTCCTGCTTTTCTTCCCTTTCCTCACCTCCACCCAGCCCTGCCCTCTCCCCTCCTCAAGCCAATCCCCATATTGTTGTCCATGTCCACAGGTTGTGCTAACCAATGTCACCCCAATAAATTTAATTTTTTAATTTACAAAATAAAATAAATAATAAATTGCCAACTAATAATTCTTCAACAGACAACCAGAAAACCTGTTGCTCAACCAAGGCTAAATTGATTAGACCTACTGAAGTAGAAAGAATACAGGTCTTGGTGGTAGTGTCTCAGAAGGAAGAAATTAATGGAAGATATTTATAGGGTTTTCGGAGCTGGACTTAGTGGTTTAAGGTAAATCTTTCAAAGCAGAGAGCAGATTAGGACTGGACAAAGTTGTGACATTATAGTTCAGGTCTGGCAGATACTGGAAAAAGCCTGAAAGTAAACCTTGATAAGTAAACTATGGTTTGTTGAGAAAATTGTTTGTCCAGGTGAGTAATCTATTTTCCTGATAGGAGAGCTGCTTGCGCAGAGGACAAACTATTTATTCAGATAAATTGGCTTGCAGGAATTTCTCGAAGCAAACAAGGCAGCTATTCATTGGTTTATAGTCATATCTTCCTAGGCCTGAACTTCCTGGACAATTTGTTAAGTCATGTGGCCACAGGAAGCGTCTGCTCTCCGTCCCAGTAGTTATGTGGGTGTAGATGAACTGGCTTCTCTTCTCAGAAGGGAGGAGGCTATTGCATGCTCCTACGTAGAGAACTGACACAATGAGCCAGGCGTTTGCATCAGGCAACGTGTGCAGGCTGGAATGCAGTGGGGAAGGTCAGAGGACTCCGCATAGTTTCGCTTCTGCAGGAGAGATTCAGCAGGTCTCTCCCAAGTGAATAAACCCCTTTTACCTGCAGGAATCATGAGCAATCCATTCTCTCATGTGCTGAGACTCTTTCCCAGATCAGTAGTCTGGGAACTAAATTTCTTTAAACCAAACAAGTCATTTCCCTAGCAAGGCCCTTTATTTCCCCTGGGATTGCAGAACCCCAGGTTCCAGGCTGCCCAAGGAAAGAGCCAATGTCTTCCTTCCTGGCAAGGGAAAGGCACTCCCTACACACCCCACTCTCCCTGGAATTGGCCCTCCAGGCCCCATACCTGGGGGTTGTGTGTCAGAGGGTTATTTATAACAGTGAAAAGGTAAAAATACTTTTGTCAACCAAAAAGGACCAATTAAGTAAATGATGGTACACATACACAACAAAACAATATTCAGTCAGTAAATACAATGACGTGGGCTATTACTTATTAACTGATGCTTTCATTTAGTGAGAAAGCAAGTGACTGAATAGCTTGTGTAGTATGACTCTATTTATGAGGGCATTGAGAGACTTATAACAAGAGCCCTCACCAATTCCCATGTTCTGCGGAGGTGGGATTTCAGGTGACATTTTACTTTCTTCTTGGCTCTTTTCTGTGTTGCTTAAAAATTTGACAATCAGCATGTGTTATTTTTACAGAGATAATAAAGCTCTTTTGTAGAAAGGAAGAATTATGTTGTTTTTGAGGTAGAGAGATGTATTTTCAGTATTGTTAAGTGAATAAAGAGATTATGGTATAATCCTGTTATTGTCTATATATAGAAAAAAACCATCAATCAAGTTTCCCAGGAACATTTTGAAGATCAAAGTTAATAACAACTCAGGAAGCCACATCTAGACCTTCAGTGTTGATGTCATTAGCACTTCCAGTCCCTTCCTGTGAAACACAGGGATCGTGTTGACGTGTGTCCCTAGGTACATTTTGGCCTTGAGGGCCTTTTGAGTCTCAATAATATGAAGAAAACAAAGCCACAAGGGATGGACCCTGTAAGTGAAGAGGGTTGGTTCTGGCACTTGGTGGAGAATCCCTGCGCCCCAGGGGACTCCCAGGCCACCCTCAGCAAGATCTCTCCAGTATCCCCTAGAGACAGCCAGCAGTCCAGGTCGTTACATGGGAGAACCAGTCATAAATTTCCACTGGCACATTTCTGAGCTCTAGGGGTAAGGATAAAAAAAAGACAAATGAATCTTAAGACAGGAGCCTTTCCAGCAATTAGGAATCTCTTGGCTTTGTTCATGACTGTCTGAGAAGTTCTCTTAAGAAAGCTGGTCAGAGACAATCAAAGAAAAAGGGAAAGAGACACCTGCAACAAGGTTCCAAAACCAAGGCTCATGGATGGACAGTCTCTGCTAAACCACAGGTAAGTGGGCCAAGGGCTGGAACCCTGTCACCAGTGAGGACTTAAGCTCGATTATCCCCTCTTCCTCCTAAGTCATGCTCCGCAGACTCAAGATCTGATCATCAACTCCAGCGCCTAGGTGAATGAGGAAAAAAATCAGAGCATTGAAGCAGTGTGCAGTGAGTTTGAAATTGATTTTCTCAGGATCCTACCCCGAGAGCTAATAATGTCTTTTATAGCTCACACTCTGCCTGGTATATCCTACCCTCTCTTAGCTTCAACTACGAGCTTTATCTTGTACACCAGAGACCTTGGAGTTCACCCTGACTGCTTGCTCTCCTCCTCATGCTGGCATCACCTGTCCATCACCAAATCCTGACATATATACAGCCTAACATCTCTCAGATCTATTTCCCTCTGCTTCCCCTAGCCCCACTCTAGTTTAAGCTATGAATCCTTCCTGGGTGGCTTCAATATCCTCCCTGAAGATCTCCCCCATCCACTTGACCCTTCTCCAATCATTTCTCCACAATACATTCAGAGTGATCTTATCAAAAAGCAGATATGACCCTGTCATCCCCCCCTGGAGAAAAATTTTTAATGGGATCCCATAAGAAACAAATTCCTTAACATGGCCCAAGGTATTAAACAATAAAAGTGTAATCTCTAAAACCTGACCACCCAAGGTGAGTCTTTGGGCAAGTTGCTTAAGTACTTTGTGCATCAGTTTCTTCATATTCAGAATAGAGATTTCAGCTGGACACCTTATAAGATTGTTGAGAGGATTAAATGACATTTAAGGTGTTAGGAAGTGTCGGACACAGCAAGCCCTCAAAAAGTGTTTCAAAGCACTGCCTGCCTGCTGGCCTGAGCTCACGCACCCTCCCTTTGCTCTCTACCCACACTGGCCTTTACTCAGCTCCTGCTCCTCATTAAGTTCTCTCACACCTCAGGACCCTTGTACAAATTGTTTCATTCTCTCCTATGGAAAACTCCTCCTGAGGAAAATCTACCTTGACCTCACTGAGTCAAAGTTTTTGGCTCATAGTATTCAGTACCTCTACTTGGAGCTACTGTTTCAGGTGTAGTTTTTCAGTAAGTTGTGTGATTACCTCATTAGTGTTTGTCTCCCCCTCTAAACTCTAAACTCCCCACGACTGTTCCAAACCATCAGAACCTATGCTCAGCTAATCACAACAGATGTCTGGCCAATCAGAGCAGACCCCGGCCAATATCCCATACAAGAGCTATCTACCTGGTTAGCCATCTAGAATAGCCACCTCAATTATTTGAAAACCTAAAGGGTGAGCATCCTCAGAAGAAAATTCTTGGGGGCATGACAACAGCTGAGAGAACTTCCATAAACATGAGAACCTCTCTGGGGAGCTGAGGGAAGAGACGTATGGACTTTCTGACCTGTGCTCTCTGGTCAGAGCCCTCACCTCCAATACTGACTTAAAACTGTGTCCTGCGCTGGACCCCAAAGCCACAAATCTGGCATGTCTTACAGTCCTCAGTTGTTTCTAGATAAAACATAAGTCTTGCTGAGCCAGAGTTTTCGTGTTTACTATAGCTTCCTGTTCTCCCAAATATTTTTCTTAATTAGTAGTAAACAATAACACAGACTTTATTTTAATTTGTTTTACTTCATTTTCTCTCCCAGGATTATTAGCTCTGTCAGTAGAGAGAGATCAGGAAATCCCAGTCTCCTGACAACTGCTTAAGAGGCCACCATCAAAGCATCATAGCCTCAGTGCCAGGAGCATCTCCAACTGGGTATATTAGTGCTTAAGGCTGCTGTAACAACGCACCACAAACTGGTTCAAAATACGAGAAATTTATTCCCTCATTGTTCTGGAAACTCCAAGTCCAAACTCAAGGTGTTGGCAGGGCCATGCTCCCTCAGAAGCCTCTTTCCACTTGGGAAGGCCCAGGCATTGTTTGGCGTGTGGCATCATAACTCCAGTCTCTGCCTCTGTCCCTCGTATGGCCACCGTGCCTCTGTATCTGTATCTTCACATGGCATGCTCCTCCCTGGATCTCCACTGTTTTTCTTTTTCTTTTTTTTTTTTTAAGATTGTATGTATTTATTTTTAGACCAAGGGGAAGGGAGGGAAGAAGAGAGGGAGAGGAACATCAACGTGTGAGAGACACATCAGCCTGTTGCCTCTCACATGCCCCCAACTGGGGACCTGGCCTGCAACCTAGGCATGTGCCCTGACTGGGAATTGAACTGGCAAACTTTTGGTTCCCAGGCCAGCACTCAATCCATTGAGCTACACCAGCCAGGGCATCTCCATTGTCTCTTCTTATAAGAACGCCAGTCATATAGAATTAAGGACCCACCCTAATTGAGTGTGACCTCATTTTAACATCATTAGTTCTGCAAAGACTGTATTTCTAAATAAGGTCACATTCACAGGTACCTGGGTTAGGATTTCAACATATCTTTTTGGAAGAAACAAATCAACCCACAACACTGGGAAAAATTATTTCTCTACTGAGTCCTCTTACGTTGTGTCAATGTTAGTCCTGACTTCCCGTGTCCCTGGCCTCTGGGCTGACACTGTTGGAGACTTTGCCCAGAAATATGGTTGAAATTTATCCTTTCATATACTCCCTCTCTGGGCCAACATGCCAGACTGCCAACACTCGCTAACAATGCCAGGTCCCCATGGAACAGAAAATTTGTTGACAGAAAGTGATTAAACTATAAAAGCTTATGTTTATTAAAAAGAACTGGGTTTTTTTAGTTAGAAAGATTTTTCTCCTTTTTATTGAATTTATTAGGGTGATACTGGTTAACAAAATTGTACAGGTTTGAGGTGCACAGTTTGGCAACACATCGTCTGTACACTGTATTGTGTGCTCACCACCCCAAGTCAAGTCTCTGTCCCTCACCATTTATACCTCCTATGCCCTCCTCCACCACCCCCTCTCTCCCCAGCAATCACCACACTCTTGTAGAATGGACTGGGTTCTGATCCCACTTTCCTAATGTGCTAGCTCTCTTACCTTGGGCAAGTTGATAATCTCACCAAATATAAATGGGCATAATACTTAAATGAGACATTGTGTATGAAGTTTCAAACTGTTTAGCTGTTTAGGAAATGAGTTAACACATGACGCACAGTAGGTGTTTAATTCATGACAGTGTCTCCTGCCCACATCCCCTAGCACTGCCCACTCTGGAGGAACTAAAAGGGTGACAGCCAGAGAGAAAGGGGATTTGAGGGGAGGTAGAGGTGGGCAAAGGGGGGAAACGGGGATGAAAGAGACTTTGCTTGGGGTGATAGGCACACACTGCAGTGTGCAGATGATGTTTTATTGAGTTGTACACTTGAAACTTTTATGTTTTGCAAGCCAATGTCATTCAATAAATTCAATTAAAAAATATAGTAATATGAATAATAAGAAAAAAGAGGGGGGCTTTGGGAACTGACCCCAGATCTGCCTCTAAAGTACAAACATGTCTTATCCGGTCTCTCTCAGTGACACGTGCACCACAATTGAGAACTGCACCCAGGTCACCTGGTTCCTCCTGCTGGGGCTCACAGACCAGGAAGGGCTCAAGGGCACCCTCTTCATACTCTTCTTGTTCATTTACTCAATCACCCTTGTGGGCAACCTGGGCATGATTATCTTGATCCATATGGAGCCACAGCTCCACACACCCATGTACTTCTTCCTGAGCATTCTCTCCTTCACAGACGCCTCTTTATCCACCACAAACACCACCCTGCTGCTGGAGAACTTCATCATCCCAGGCCAGTCCATCTCCTTTGCTGGCTGTGTGGCCCAGATGGCCCTCATGCTTCTCCAAGGTACTGCTGAGTGTTTGTTCCTGGCCATCATGGCCTATGATCGCTTCATTGCCATCTGTCACCCTCTTCTCTACCATTCCATCATGTCCCATCGTCTGCGTGTCCAACTGGTGGCAGCCACCTATACAGCTTCTGTTGCCAGTTCAGCTTTGCTAACTGGTTGTGTCTTCAAGCTGCCCTACTGTGGCCCCAATGTCATTAATCACTATTTCTGTGACATCCCCCCTGTGCTTCAACTTGCTTGTGCAGACACTACTGAGGTTGAAGCCATCATCCCCTCATCTTCTGCCCTGATTTTCCTCTTTACTGTCACGATCATCCTGGTCTCCTATGCCTACATCCTGGTGACTGTCTGCAGAATGCATTCCCTGGAGGCTCAGAGCAAAGCGCTCTCCACCTGCACCTCCCACCTCACCGTCATCTGCCTTTTGTATGGCACACTCATCTTCATGTACACTCAGCCAAACTCACAAAATTCCCTGGAACAGATCTGTCCTCTACAGTGTGATCATCCCTATGCTGAACCCTCTGATCTATAGCCTGAGAAATAAAGATGTGAAGTCTGCTTTTAAAAGGAGATACCTTGGCAAGCTACCTTCTTAACCAAGTGTGGTAGCCACAACATAATGTATGGATAATATTAGCCCATAGAGAGAGTGAGATATGTGCCAGCAGTATTTTAAATGCTTTACACTTGTCAACACACTTAATCTTCATAATCATATGAAATAGGTGTTACTATTACCACTCAGGGATCTGAGGCACAGAGAGGCTGAGTAACTGGCCCAAGATCACACAGCTAATAAGAGGCAGAGGCAGAATGTAGATCCAGGCAGTCTTGCTCCAGAAGCCATGTTCTGAACCAATACACTGTATTGCCTCTTTCTGATGCCTGCACCTCACAGATAGACAATGGGCACTGCTGTTCTTAAGTTCCTTATATCAGAAGGAAGAACTGGGTAATGGAAGTATAAAGAGGTATGGGAGGGACCATGGGCTCTGGGGGGCACAGCTGAGTTCATGCAGCCTCTGAGCAACCCTCTCTATCAGCATGTGTGTGATGTCAAGTCAAGGTACACAACTCCCAATTCTTTTTTTAAGATTTATTTATCTTTAGAGAGAGAGGAAGGGAAGAAGAGAGAGGGGGAGAGGAACATCTGTGTTTGGTTGCCTCTCATGTGCTCCCCACTGGGGACCTGGCCCACAACCCAGGCATGTGCCCCAACTGGGAATTGAACCAGCAACCCTTTGGTTTCCAGGTCTGTGCTCAATCCAGTGAGCTACACCAGCCAGGGCACAACCCCCGATTCTTGATCCTCCCAAGTGAAAACAGGCCTTAACACCCATCTCAGCTGATCATTATAAGGTCCCCATGAGGTAAAGGGAGGTCACACAGGGTCTGGCACAAACAATCATTCACAAATCATTTATTTCCTTCCTCCCCTGGGGAAACTGCTCTGTAGAGCCAAATATTCTTATATGTCAATGTTTTTTTAGGAATCAGACCATATTATGTAGCTGATATTAAATACCATTTAATTGAATCACAAAACAGTTCTTTCTTTTTCAATTTTCTTTTTGTAACTCTTCTCATTATGACAAAATTGAAGTCTCTACTTAGTACTAGTTTGTCTTTAAACCTTGTTAATCCAGTCTCCCTTTTAATGGGAAGAGAAAGTCTTCGCACCTAACTGTACTAGGAGGTAGTCAGCCGGTACAGCATACCTCGCCAGCAGGCCAGACGACTGAGTCAGAGCTGATTATTTACCTCCACACCAACACTCTCACACTGCACTCACACACTCCCCTTTTAGATGTGAGTATCTGAAGTGTTCTGTCTTTTTTTGAACTCCTGTGTCCCAGTCGTCCAGCCCCTGGCTCAGCGCTGGATACAAAGAGAATGTTCAATCATTGCTTGTTACTTGACTGAAATGAGAGAATGCAGCAAAGTGGTTAACACAGTGTCTGGCACATAATAGATGCTCAGTAAATTATAGCACTTGTCAGAAGGACACATGAAGCCGAATAAGAGGCAAGAATCCTTCTTCCAAGAACAGGGAGGGATGCCTCTAGCTAAAGCCCAATACAACTGCTACCAAGTTACCAGGCTGCTTCTGTCCTATAAGGAGCTGATACTCTCACCTTCAAATCAGCAAGCCACACCTGTGAGTCATTTTCCCACAGAGACAGAAACACCCAGCAGTCTTCCTTGGGAGGAAGTGACGGTATCAGCTCCTCCCAAGGGATCAGCTAAGTGTGGAGAATAGAAGCAGGGAGCAGTTTAGATTTTCAATTAATCCTATTTTTTAAAAGATTTTATTTATGTATTTTTAAAGACAAGGAAAAAGAGAGGGAGAGAAACGTCAGTGTGAGGTTTGCCTCTTGCATGCCCCCTACTGGGGACCTGGCCCACAACCTAGGCATGTGCCCTGGGAATCAAATAAGCCACCCTTTGGCTCACAGGCCAGCACTCAATCCACTGAACCACGCCAGCCAAGGCTAATCCTAGATTTTATTTACCATTATTTCATGGAGAAGGTCACACATTGAACCCAGAGCACAGGCTGTTTCCATAGCTCTGGACAAGTTTGTCATCACTCTGAACCTTAGTTCTCTGCTCCTTTAAAGTCTCTGCTACTGCTGAGTCCCCTTTAAAGCTGTTTGTAATAATGTTAAGTATGCAGGCTCTGTGTTTCCAGCTAGACTGTAAACTCCCTAAAGGCAGGCAGTGCACCATTCAGAGCTGAGGTTTGGAACTAGGACTCAATGAAATCCTGCTAATATCAAACTATACTACAAGGCCACTGTAATCAGAACAGTCTGGTACTGGCATAAGAATAGACGGATCAATGGAACAGAATAAAGAACCCAGAAATATACCCACGTCTCTGTAGGCAATTAATATTTGACAAAGGGGAAATGAGCATACAATGTAGTAAAAGTCTCTCCAATAAATGGTGTTGGGAGAACTGAACAGGTACATGAAAAAAATGAAACTAGACCACCGACTTACACCATACACCAGAATAAACTCAAAATGGATAAAAGACTTAAATATGAGCCATTACGCCATAAAAATCCTAGAGGAAAACATAGGCAGAAAATTTTCAGAAATCCCACATAGCAATATTTTTGCCGATGTATCTCCTAAGGCAAGGGAAATAAAGAGAAAAACAGACAAATGGGACTACATCAATCTAAAAAGCTTCTGCATGGCTAAAGAGACTGTCATCAAGATGAAAAGGGAACCAAAACCATATGGCAGAATTATATTTTCTAGTGACACATCAGGCAAGAGTTTGACCTCCAAAATATATAAAGAACTCATACAACTCAAGACCAGAAAGACAATCAATCCAATTAAAAAATGGGCAAAGGACCTGAACAGACACTTCTCCAAGGAAGACATACAGAGGGCCCAGAGACATATGAAAAAATGTTCAATAACACTAGCCATCAGAGTGATGCAAATCAAAATCACAATGAGATATCACCTCACACCTGTCAGAAAGGCCATCCATCATTAAGAAATCAACACACAAGTGCTGGTGAGGATGCAGAGAAAAGGGAACCCTAGTGCACTGTTGATGGGAATGCAGACTGGTGCAACCACTGTAGAAAACAGTTTGGAATTTCCTCAAAAACTAAAAATGGAACTGCCTTTTGACCAAGTGATTCTGTTGCTAGGAATATACCCTAAGAATCCCAATCACCAATTTAAAAGGACTTATGCACCCCTATATTCACAGCAGTGCTCTCTAAGTGCCCATCAGTAAATGGGTGGATCAAAAAACTGTGTACTACAGTTTGAAATACAATGAAATACTACCCAGCAGAAAAAAGGAAGGAACCCCTACCTTTTGCAATCCATTTAGCACGTATTGTAGCGGAGAATATTATGGTAAGTGAAATAAGCCATTGGTAAAAGGCAAATATCATATAATCTCACCTATAAGAAGAATCAAATGAACAAAATAAACTAACAAAATAGAACCACAGGTGTGGAAACATGGAACAGACTGAAAGTGACCAGAAGGGAGGGGCAAGGGGGATAATGGTGGAAACAAGGGGAAGGGATTAGACAAAGAACACGCACGATGACCCACAAACATGGACAACAGTGTGGGAATTGACTGTGGGAGCGGGGGGTGGGATGGGCAGAGGAGGGCAAAGAGGGAAAATTTAGGACAACTGTAACAGAATAACAATTAAAAAAGGATTAAAAAAAAGCAAAAACAAAGGGAGAAAGGAAAGTAATAGCGATCAATCCCTCCCATGACTACTGGAGTCCAATATTTTTGTTGTACTTCTTATTAAACTAGCTTTAGATAATGACACTCAGAAAAAGAAATTCTGCTAGAAAGTGACAGAATAGACCTCTTCAAACACCAATAGCACTGATTCCTAACTTCAGACACTGGAGGCTGGGTTTCTGTAAGAAATCGGAGGCAAGCTTACAGGTTTTATTCCCTCTGGGAAAACCCTATCAGCTTCCACCAGCTTCCTCTCCATGGGCTCGATATCTGCCCAACAATACTGGTATTGTGGTTCTGACCAGGAGCTTCCTGTGAGCTTCAGGGCAGATGCAGAGGGAGTTGGGAACAGTGGGGGGGAAAGGTGAAAAAGAAATAATGTGTTCACAGCAAAATGATACCAGATATTAGACCCCGGTCCTTGAATTTTGGCTAAAAAGAATTCAGAGCCAAGACTCAAATACAAGCAAACATTTATTTAGAAAGTCAGAGGTAGAAGAAGTAAACTGTGGAAGAAGTGAGCCAGCTGGGGTGTGTGGGCTCAGGAAACAAGTTACAGAAGTAAAATAAGGGCCCTTGGAGCTTAGGAGAGAGGGAAAGAAAATGCTCCTGGGGGCAGGAGAGGAAAAAAGGCACAGGCTTATTCCAGAGAGAGTGCCCTAGGGAAATAATGGGGTGTGGAAAGGTATAGGCGAGCTACAGAGAGAGAAAGTGTGCCTGCTGGGTCCTCCACATCCTATTAAGGGTTTATATATGAAGGTCCCAGGGGAGGATCTCACTAGATATTTATTAGCTTTTCAGGTATGTCTCCTCAGGGTTGTGGCCTCCACTGATGGGCCGATGACAGAGCAGGGTATCATTAGTCATTGCATCCGGTCCTGAAGTCATCCATGGCGTCACCCCACCTGGCCTTTCTGATTATCTGGGCCTGGAGCCAAACATAAGTGAGAACTAGATATTATCTCTAGTTTGACCAAAACTCTGTCTGTGTGGTTAATAGACCCAAGGCTTTGTTCTTAAGGTTATTTGATGTGAGTCAGAACCTTGTTGTCTTGAGAGCTTAATGCTAAAGGGAGTAGTTTTGCAAGGATAAAGCTTTTTCTCTGCCCCCTTAGTTCCTCCTCTAAGGGGTCTCCTGTGTGACTAGCCACATGCCAGGGGAGGAAAGTTCCGAGGAGGGTCCTAAATGCATGACCAGAGATATGAAATATTAGGGGTGGGGGAGGGTAGGTAGCAGAGAGCTTAGGGTGGAGTAAGGTGATGGAAGGAGACTTGACTTGAGGTGG